TGTTCTCACCTTGGACATTTTTTCTTTCATAAGTAAATTATAAATAAATTTTGATGAAACATATATAAAATCTTTAAAATTGTTTATGAATATAATATATTATGTATGTATAATAATAAAATTTATGTATATAACTTGTTGGTTCGGTTTGGTTATTTCTTCGATTTTTTTCGAACAAAACCATAACCAAACCAAATACTATCGGTTCTTAACAATCTAAAACCAAATCAAACCAAAACCCAAATTAAATCGGTTCATTTAATCGGTTTGGTTTGGTTTTTCGGTTTGGATCGGTTTTTATCCAAACCATGAACACCCCTACATGTTCCTACTAAAAAAAAAAAAAGAGTATTTAACTTGATGAATTTTGAAAGAAGGGAATTGTATTTTTTACATGTTCGATTCACCCTTCCGAAATTTTTGATAGTAGAACAAAATATTCTGAAATTATGATACGAGGATTAAATAGATAATAATAAAATTATTTAGTAGATATATTTTTATTAATAAATGTTTGATTCCTTATTGGTGGGCGGTGGCAAACCAATTAAGCCAAAATTAAATACACCAACGCAACCTCATCCGACCTTTCCCAAAGTACTCAAACAAAAAATTAGCCAAAACATATATATGAGCGTTGTTCGGATTCGGGGTGCAGGTGTTCGATAGGGGTTAAGATCTAGAGATTGGATCTTTCATGATCTAATTTTTAAGATTCGGGAATATAGATCCATGTATGGATACGGGTGCGGGAATTTGCCTAGATATAATTAAAATATCTAAAAATAGAGTTATCAAAACCTAAATTATAAGATATTATGTGGAGAATCTTGGAAGGAGATTAAAGGACAATGAGTGACATATAAATTTCTTTATAAAGGTATTCCATTTTTTTCAATTTCACCTTAGCTTTTGTATTGATTATAGAAATCATTAAAACTATCATTTTCTCCATCAATTTTGGTCAAAGTACCCAAAATCGATTGACCAATCGGACACATCCCACACCCACATCCGCATCCACGTCGTGTCGACACGGGTGCGGCACATTGTAGAGTCCGAGCAATTACTTCGTATATGAGTGCCACAACATGAATGGGATCTCATCAAACATTTGTTAATCACACACCTGCACAAATTAAGTTATAACTATGATAAATTTGGAATCTTTACAGATATGGACAGTAAAATAATATGCTTGAAATTGCCAGGAAAATGGCTCTTCTGGTGTCACTATCAAAAACAAACATTTTTCTCACTGCTAATCAATAAAAAATTTGTGTTATAGAATATGAATCTTCTGATCTCATTTTCTATTTAATTGGATCATTGAAAAAAATGCATAGTAAAAAACAGATTCTCACTAAAATAGCGAAAAACTTTCTATTTTTTCTTATGAAAACATTTTTATTTTTTCTTTTCTCACCAATTAAATCAAAATATCCTTGAAAATAGACTAAATTTACCAATTAATAAAATTGGAAGTGTGCATGGATTGGTCAAAAGAGGTTGGCTAGTGGGTCCCATGTATAGCCATTATATATACACACAATATTTTCACTAAGTGAGAAACCCCTCATCAGAGTTAAGGCATCTCATCTCTTTCTCTTAAACAAAATTAAAGAGTAAGGCTACAAGAATTGTCTCTTTTGATCTTGGCATTTATTTAGATTAAGCGCTTATCATTATATCAAAAACTATGAACCTTAATATTTTCTTTTCCTTATGAAACATTATTTATGTTTGATTTGCCATGGTTGAATTGTTCTAAGTTCTGTTTAATACATTTCATATTTACTTAATGATTAATTATTTCATATTTACTTTTTATATAGTAAACCAAAATTGATTTGAGGTAAACTTAATTGGTGCAGATTTAAGGATTGAGGAGTACAAATGGGAGCTGGTGGAAATATGTCTACTCCAACAACTAAAAATGAAAAAAAGAAAAGTCATCTCCAAAGAGTTCCATCTTCAAAGCCTCCTTTTACACTTGGCGATGTCAAAAAGGCCATTCCTCCTCACTGCTTCCAACGATCTCTAATTCGCTCCTTCTCTTATCTTATTCAAGATCTCATACTTGTCTCCATCTTCTATTATATTGCCAACACTTACTTCCACCTCCTTCCATCCCCATTAACTTACCTTGCGTGGCCTGCTTATTGGATCGCGCAAGGTTGTGTTTCCACTGGAATATGGGTCATTGGCCATGAATGTGGTCATCATGGCTTTAGTGATTACCAATGGGTAGATGACACTGTTGGCCATATCCTCCACTCTGCCCTTTAACACCCTACTTGCATGGAAGCATAGTCATCGTCGTCACCATGCCAACACAGGTTCCCTTGAGAATGATGAAGTTTACATACCTAGGTTTAAATCCAAACTAAGATGGTACTACAAATACTTGAACAATCCATTAGGACGAGTATTCGTACTTGCCTTCACCCTTACTTTTGCCTGGCCTTTATACTTGATGTTCAATATCTCAGGCAAAAAATATGAACGTTTTACATGTCACTACGATCCAAATAGCCCATTATATTCTAACCGCGAGAGAATGCAAATCTACATTTCAGATGCAGGTGTGATTGCAACTACTTATGTATTATACCGCCTTGCTATGACACAAGGGCTAACTTGGGTTCTATGCATCTATGGAGTGCCTCTCCTAATTGTGAATGGATTTATAGTGCTGATCACTCTTATGCACCACACTCATGCATCATTGCCACATTATGATTCATCGGAGTGGGATTATCTAAGAGGAGCTTTAGCTACGGTAGATAGAGACTATGGTATACTAAATAAGGTGTTCCATAATGTTACAGATACTCATGTTTTGCATCATATATTCTCATACATATCACATTACCATGCAATGGAGGCGACCAATGCGATTAAGCCATTGCTAGGAGATTACTACCAAGTTGATGATACCCCAATTATAAAGGCAATGTGGAGGGATACAAAGGAGTGCATCTATGTGGAAAAAGATGAAGGATCTCAAGGTAGAGGTGTTTATTGGTATAAAAACAAGCTTTAAAAGTAGAATACCAAGAGACCCATTACTTGGAATTGGTTAAATGTTTTAACCTAAGAAGGTGCAAGTATTTGAATAATTGTGTGTTTTTGTTGTATTTTATTGTTAATGTCACTAATATGTATTGTTAAATTCGTCATTATGCAATAAAATAAATAGCTACTTTTGTAGCAATCAATTTGGTATGAAATGAAAAATGGGAAGGAATTGTTAACTAGGCTTATATAGTGTTGACAACTTGACTCTTTGCTAAATATTGGGCAGGTCGAATGATTTGCTACTCATGACAAGGGCATCAATATAGCTAGCCCCAAAATATAATAGAGGATAAATTTAGATACTTATATTTCTTATAGTAGAGTACACAACTCAAGTGTTAGAAAAATACTACTATATATATATATATATATGTTTCACTGGTGAAGAATAAATCTATTTACGACTACTACATACATATGAATCGATTTGATTTACAACTCAAATAATGTATACTAATAATTTTCAACCTGCCCAAATTTAACATGGATAATTAAGCTGCCAACACTAGCTAGTACTATATATGGCTGATGAAATTAAGATGTTAATAGAGTGCAGAGGATCTGTTATTAACATCTCTTCTCTGTTATTCAAATAATCAGAGTGAACTCATGAATAAAGAATTTCCAAATCGAAGACAACATAGAGAACCAGGAATCTTTAATTTATTAATGTAACGATGGACTTAAACAATACAATAGTAGTAACATTTAACCAATTCCAAGTAATGGTATTCTACTTAATTTCAAAGCTTATTTTTATACCAGTAAACACCTTTGCCTTGATGAGAACCTGTATCTTTCTCAACATAGATGCAATCCTTGGTATCCCTCCACATTGCCTTTAAAATTGGGGTATCATCAACTTGATAGTATTCACCAAGCAACGGTTTGATAGCGTTAGTTGCTTCCATTGCATGGTAATGTGATATGTATGAGAATATATGATGCAAAACATGAGTATCTGTAACATTGTGGAACACCTTATTTAGCACACCATAGTCTCTATCTACCGTAGCTAGAGCTCCTCTTAGATAATCCCACTCCGATGAATCATAATGTGGCAATGAAGCGTGAGTGTGGTGCATAAGAGTGATCAACACTATAAAGCCATTCACAATGAGAAGGGGCACTCCATAGATGCATACAAGCCAAGTTACCCCTTGTGTCAAAGCAACGCGATACAACACATAAGTTGTTGCAAGAATACCTGCATCTGAGATGTAGATTTGTAGCCTTTCACGGTCAATATATATTGGGCTATATGGATCATAGTGACATGCAAAACGATCATATTTTTTGCCGGAGATATTGAACACCAAGTATAAAGGCCAAGCAAAAGTGAGGGTGAAGGCAAGTACGAATACTCGTCCTAATGGATTGTTCAAGTATTTGTAGTACCATCTTAGTTTGGATTTGAACCTAGGTATGTAAACTTCATCATTCTCAAGGGAACC